ATATAGCTGAGTCTCTTTATTGCCTGCTCTCAAATATTTTATATTTTAACTAATAACAAATTGTGTAGAGGTAATATATTTTCAACCATAATTTATTTTTTTATTATTTATTAATATAAAATACATTAGCCAAATTAATTTTATGTAATAAAACTATTAATATTAAATCGAATAAGAATAAGTGCTATATTGTAATACAATAAATTATATATGATGCAAATTTTTTATATCTATATATAATAGATTTTTATATCTATAGTTGTTAATATTTATTTGTGCATTAAATACTAAAAGTGGTTTCGCTTATGTATATTTTAAAATACTTATTTATATTATATACTTTTATATAAAACTATAGAAAAAAATAAACTAACAAGTACTCTAAATAAAAATTATTTAGTTTTGCTAGTCTAATCGGCTATTTAATGCAGAGCTAATATCGGTTCTAAAACTGATTCTTCTTTACTGTTCACTGTACTACATGTATACATATATCATATACTAAATAATATTATCTTTTAGCAAAATTATTCTCAGTTGATTCTACAAATAACAGAGTAAAGATCTTAAATCTTATTTTTTTTCATTCCAAAGTCCAAATGTAGTTTGGTGTTACCCAATAACTAAGAAAAGGGTTTGAGTGGATGCCCATTAAAACCAGCTGAAGCTAACGTGTATAAACCTCGGCAGTTGAATATAACAGAACTACAAACTACTATGTCTTAGTTCTTAGTCTAAATTGATGTATAAACTTGGGAATTTGGGAGTTACAAATTAAGTTTTAATTTGTATTGTTTAGCATATGGTTATACTCTAAACTTAATTGGGCTATGACAGTTCTTCCTGGACAGGGATTTTGGGCAGGACTTTTATTCGAATCCCTGAAGACTGTAAGCGAATGTCTGTTAACAACCTTTTTCCAATGCAAACGTGATCTCAAAGAAAACACTGCTTCTATACAGAATACTGTTAACGCTATTACCACTCCCAAAAAAAGGTCATTTTAATAGGCAGTATATATTAGATATATATAGTACTATATATACACAGTAATCCCCCCTCGGTAGATTGGTTCCGCGTTATAGGAAAACGCTTTATGGGGATATTCCCGTATGCAGACGTGCAAAGGTACGCGAAGCTAATTATGAACTGTAGAAATTCCCGCGTTATATGGGGAAATAACTTTGTTATACGGGGGATTATACGGAGGATATACAGGGGAAATTACTGTATAGTATTTTTATAATTGAAAAGAAAATATTTTCTATTTCAATAATACATTTTAATATTTTAATGTCACATTCTATAGCCCAATTATTAAATTTAAAAAATCGATTATCTTTAATAAAATAAAAAAATAGTTACAAATATGTATTTATATTTTAATATTTTAATAAACATACAAATTAAAGATATTACTAATAAAAATTATTTAGTACTTTTTACTTTATTTTTTTACCAAAAAATAATAAATATTATTTAAAAAAAAATATATTATTAATATTTATAAAAATATGTATTATCTATAAATAAATTTAAGTGACCAATAGTATACTATACTATCTTTACTAAATTTTTACTGTACTAAATTTTCTCTACAAATTGTATTAATTTTTATACTCTTATATATTGAACCCGCTTTTTAATTCATCAAAAACTTTTAACTTAATCCTAACAAAAACAAAAAACTAAAGGACGTCTCCAACAATAATCTAAAGTCACTACCGTGCGGTATTGGTTTTCTGACAAAATTAATTGAGCTTAAATTATCATATAACCACCTCAAAGAGCTACCATCTGATATTACTCAAATGTGGTGTAAGTTATTTAATATGTAAAACTTACTTAATATGTTATTATATATATAAATATTTAGTTTAAATAATTTTTACTGATATAATTTTTATAATATATATATATAGGTCTACAAAAGTTAGATTTGACGCACAATGATTTATTATTCCTTCCGGAAGATATTGGTCTAATGCGTAAATTAGAATTTATTTATTTACAACACAACGACATGAGATCTTTACCAGACTTCGAAAGCTGTGAGGAGTTGCAAGAACTATATGCTGCAAACAATTACTTGAAGGTAAAAAATTATATTATTTTTTGTATTATCACAAACGTTTTTAATATAATATATATACTTGATACCAATATATTTATAATGTTTTCAATAATAATAAAAATTATTGTATATTAGAAAATTCCAGAGAAATTTTGTGAGACGCAAAGACATTTGAAGATCCTTGACTTAGCCGACAATCAAATAACAGTTATACCTGACGAAATAGGCCTTTTGCATAGTTTAACTCGCTTAAATGTCGCAAACAATAATATAAGTAAATTGCCATATTCCCTAGCAAAATTGGGTCATCTTGTAAATTTACAAGTAGAAGGTAATCCAATAAAAACTATAAGACGAGAAATACTTCAATGTGGTACAACGAGAATTTTAAAAACCTTGCGTGATCGTTCCATATCAGATCAAGCAGAAGCAGATACTAATGTGTTAAATGTACAAAAACCAAATACCAAATATGACGAAACAGTTTTTCCGGATAGGTGAGAATTTCTACTTACCAAATCAAAATTTACTTTATAATAAAAACAATTTATTACAGATTTAAAATGCGAAAGACACACAGTTTATTTGCTACTATGCAAAACCTAGACGACGTACCTGCAGAAGTATTAGATGTAGCTAAGGAAGAAAATGTTACCATGATTGATTTGTCTAAAAATGTGCTACAAAGCTTGCCAGAAAGGTGATTATAAATAATATTTTCTATATATAACATGTAGTTATAATAGCGATTTCTTCTTTAAAGCTTACTGAAAGTGAATGACTGTCTAACTGAACTTGTGGTTGCAAAAAACTTCTTAAAATCTGTTCCATCGTTTATATCGCAATTTACACGATTAGCGCACATAAATTTATCTAATAATCAATTATCGGTACTACCTGAAGAATTTGGCGTACTCAATACATTACGAGAAGTTAATTTCTGTAATAATCAGTAAGAAATGGATATTAATAGTTACTTAAAAATAGATTTCTAACAGAAGTTTTTTTTAATAATTTGTTATTAGTTTTAAATCCATACCAAATTGTCTGTATAATCTTCCAAATTTGGAAATTATATTGATGGGCAGCAATCGTATACAAATGATCGATGCAACTCCTCAGGGACTAGGAGGATTGAAACGTTTAGCAACTTTGGATCTAAGCAATAATGATATTAGTCACGTACCGCCAATATTGGGTAACCTCCAAAATATAACGTAAGCGATTTTTGCTGTATTTTTAAATTTAACAAGAAACCGTCTTATTATATATATATAATTTTTTTTGGATAGATCTCTGGATTTGATTGGTAATTCATTTCGTCAACCTCGACACCAAATATTAGCAAAGGGGACAGCATCTATAATGTCCTATTTAAGAGATCGTATAACACCTGAAACCTCTAATTAGTCTTTAACCAAAAAGCATAACAAGTACCTTGCCATATGTAAATTTAATAAGTTTATATATTATAATTTTGTTTTTTTGAATATTAACAAATCTTTTTAAATTATTATAAAAACTATAACATATTTTTTAATAAAGCCGTTTTTAAATTAATGTGATATGCACAATTAAAAATAAATAATTTTATTAAATTCTTTCGAAAAAAAATTAAATAAATCAAAAACAAATTATAAACTTATTAAAAGTCAAAGCATTTTAAAATATTATTTTATTTATTTTTTAAATAAAGTTTTTAGATTTTAAAAAATATAATTTTTATTAAAATTTATGTACATTTTACTTAATAAATATTTTATTAAAAATGTTTTAAAAATAAAGCAAATTTTTATTAAAGGTGTTTTACACTATTTATTAAAATAAACAATTCTTGATTATTTTACTTTATATATATTATTGGAAATAAATAAATTTTATTAAATCTTCCTCTTCTTATTTGGCACTACAGTCTAGTGTGAACCTTGGCCTCATTACAATTTATTTAAATGCTGAGTATAATTTTAGAAAAAGACTGTAACTATAAAGTGTTTTAAATAACTAACAAACTACATAGTACACAAAAAAATAATATATATAATGTATTATATATATAATAGAACACACTTAATATTTTAAACGATCCGGAACTTTAGATTTAATTATGTGTCAAAAAAAGAAGAAAAGCAGTGCTCTAGTAGTAGACCTTCCACCTCGCGGCCATTGTATATTAACATTTTGATTTTTTAAAAAGGAATTCGAAACCACAAAAATTATGTACGTACGTAACTTCGACGGACAATAAACCTAATGTCCGGTATGTTATGAAATTAGTAATAGTATAAAATAGACAACGTGTTTATGCAACTTTGATCTATAAAAACGGCGGATACATATAGAATATACTTTTCATATTGGGACTCCTAGAATCAATATTTTGATATTTAATCATATAATATGAAGAAGGAACTCGAACTCATAACATAAAGACATATACATAAATTTAAAAATATAACCATTCGGTAAAATATGAAATTAGTAGTCATTTTACTTATATTTATCGAAATGGAATCAGGAACATTCGTTGTTATAACTTCACTTATAGGAGAGTAGTGAGCAGCTCTTAGTCGTTGAGTTTAAATTTGATCTTGACTCCAAAATGTATACCTGACCGATACTGAAATTTGAAACCAAACCCCTCAAGATTTATTGATGCAGTATCTTCTTAAAGTTCCGGATGTGTACAGATCTTCCTTTAACCACTACGAGGCAGTGCAAGGAATACAATATTCCTATATAATAAAATCTGTCCTTTAGAAATCGAGGTTAGAGTATAGCCACCTGCTATATAGTACCTTGTTTTAAATTAACCGG